AGAGAGACAGAGAGACAGGAGAGACAAGAGAGACAGAGACAGAGACAGACAGAGGCAGAGACAGAGAGACAGAGGCAGAAGCATGCATGTAGTGTAGCCTATTTATTTCCCTGTAGCAAAATTAGGAATGATCTTTTTAACCTTTCTTCATTTTTATATTGCTAGTTTCTAACATGGCTATACACTGTTTCACAAGGAAAAAGAAGTCCTTTTTGAAGGTTAGAAGCTGCAGACCCTGGAAACCTCGCCTCAGAGACCCTAGCTACTCCAGCCCTGTCGATCCACATCCGTCTGTGAACACAGCCCAGGCTGCTGGGAACAGACACGGTCGGCCGTGAGAAGTGGGCGAATGTGGCCTCCCTGCGAGTGGACGCAGCGAAGTCAGGCAGCTCACCTTCTGAGAGGGTTCTCGCTCTGTTCCCCACACTGGCTTTGGAGAATATCATATTGATTTTAAAGCTTAGTAGCTGGTAAATAAAAACGTGTTTTGTTGGTTTTCATTCGTGATCAGAGAAGTGTGTAACAGGCATGACACAGTAACGGAAACAACAAAGCTGTAAACCTTAGCAGTGAAACCACATAAAGGCTAAATATACATTACAAAACTTAATGAATCAGATTAAAAAAAAAAAAAAAAAACACCTGCATTAATTGGAACCTCTACAGTTAGTTCTCTGAATCACTAAGCCCTGGGAGTCCTGAGAAAAGTAGAAAGGACTCAGAGGCGGGCTCGACAAGGGCCGTTTGCTGGACTGGCGCCCCTGGGCACCGGGGAGCGTCCGTCTTGGCAGCTAAAGGCGCTGGGGTGTTCCCGAACCGTTTGCTTTCTCCGCCCTTCCCGAGCACAGAGGACTCTAACGTCCCGGGGTGGGACACAGCACCGTTGTTTCCAGGAAAGATGGTGCCGCGAAGCTGCCCAGGAGAGATTTCAGCTGCAGTCTCCCACAGAGAGACGAACTTCCTCACAGCACAGAGCCCAGAGCGCAATCGGATCATAATTTGCTCTGCTAAATCCCGCACTGACCAAAGCAGACGTGGTCGCGTCCCAGAGGGCGCCCCGGGGGCAGCTCAGGCCGGCCGGGGGAGCTGGGAGGCGCTGGGCTCTCCGCACGCAGCTCCGCGGAGCAGGGGACAGGGCAGCGCGGAGCCCGCTCCCCTGCGGGCGCGCTCAGGTGAGGGCGGCCACTCCGAGGCCCGGGCGCACACGGTCACCTTTGCTGCTGCTGTGACCTAAGAGACGTTTCCCTCACGCTCCGCCTTCCGAAGTTCTATTCACTTAGTCATATTGCGGCAGAAATGCCGAGTTACAGTGCGTTTGCTGGATCCTCAGGGGGGTGTACACTACTTTTTCTTATCATTTACACAAAATAAAAAAATAGTAAAAAAAAAAAAAAAAGTTAGAAATGATACAGAATTTCTCTGAACAAAGTGACAGGAATTCAACAATGGTTGTTACGTTACATATTGTTGTCTTCAAATTAGTAGTTACAATTGTCAGATATAAGCGTGCAAAATTGGTCAAAAATTAAAAAGAAAAAAATGAGCATTAACTGTTCCTTTCAAAAGACCAGTAGAAATCAGCAGTACAAATATCTAAACTATCATATATACTTTTCCTTCCTTCTTTCCTTCTTCTGTCCCTCATCCCAGGGGCTCCTTCCCCTTGGACGGTTTCTTTCCCTTTCACAGGATCTACTGTACCTTTCAGCTTTTACTTACTCCTTCAGGTTCTTATAGTAGGGAGACAATGTGATGTTCGTGCAAGTGGGTTGGATTTATTTCACTTATGAGTATGGTCTGTAGTTTCATCCATTTACCCATAAAAGCCTCAAGTTCATTTCTTGTTATAGCTGAGTAATACTCCATTGTATAAAAATACCATGTCTTTTTATCCATTCCTCTCCTGATGGACATTTGGGTTGTTTCCAAGATTGAGAGGTCCCATTCAACCTAGCTATCGCCCTCTGCGGTATTTTTGCAGCGCTGAAATCATCATACCACGTGATACGTGTGCGCCCACGTTTGCGGCAGCATGACTTGCCACAGCTAAGTCTTGGCTGCACCGCTTTCTTGATAGCTTTGCCTTGTGCCTTCATCTCACTCTATACCACATTTACTCATGGGTGCATTTCTTTCTCAATTCATACTGAGACTTCTTTAGGTTACCTGTTCTTCTGATCTCAGCAGCATTTAGCACAGTGCTCTGAATGTAGAGCCACATTTTACAGGAGAAAGAACCTGTGTCTTTGAAGACAGCATGCTTGGGTTCTGATCCCAGTGGAATCACTTGGGAGCTATTAAACTTGAGCTTCACTTACCTTCCTGTATCTCCAGTTCTCTATCTGAACAAAAACCAAATATTTCCTCAAGGTTGTGAGAGGGACTAGTCACAATAAATAAAAACTGATAAATAAATTATCTCTAAATGACAACCATCACAACTTTCAGTACTGTCATAAGAAGCTCACTGGATAAAAATATTAAACTACCAAGCATTCACAGTAATTGCATGTCATGGAAGTTGTCAAAAACTGGACTTGGTTTGCGGAGGGTGAGGTCCCTAATGTTAGTGACCTACCTTGAACTCTTTCTCAATGTTGGCCAGCACCGCCAGCTCATTGCTAAGTTCTAACGCTGTCATGACTGGATCTTCACTAGACAAGGAGAGGTAAGCTGGACTTGCCAGGCCCTTGTAGGCATTAATCCTAGACCTAGAGTGGCTAAAGGAGTCGTGCTTCTGTTTCTGGCCACATTCACTGCACTTGCAGAAGTAATCATGAGGCCGTTCAATCCGTGCCCCCTTCCGTAGGAGAGTGTGAACAATTTCATATTCTTGGCAGTGGGCAGCCAGAATGATTGGAGTCACATCATGGGAGAACCGGGTCCCATCCTCATCATAGGCATAAAAATCATCGTGCTGGAGTTCAGACTGGCTAGGGCTTGTGGCCAACCTTTTACCTTCAGCAAAAGCCGGATGACTAAGAATTGCTTCCACAATCCGGACATAACCTTTGCTAATTGCTAGAAGCAAAGCATCCCCAACCCGAGAAAGGTTTTCTTTCTTGAGAAGCAGCTCCGTAATTTCCAGGTGCTCGTTGGCCACCGCCAGCTGCAGGGCATTCTGGCCCATGTAATCCACACAGTTCACGTTGAGGGAGAGGCACTCTTCTAACATTTTCCGCACCACTGGGATGTTGCCATACTCTGCAGCATCTAGGAAGCGCTCCTCCTCGATAGACAGGCTGGTTGAGTGGTCATTAAACATGTATGCTGGGCCTCGCGTAGCTAATCTTCTCCCCTTCTCACGAAGAACTGTCTGCCGCCGGTGAGTTAGTCTGTTGTCGGTGCCCCGGCTGCAATAAACAGAAAAATGGTGAATAAATTGAATTATGGATGTTTTAGTGTGCCAACATGACCTGCCATTTACCTAATGCATCCCTCAATCTATTAGATATTGTCTCACCGTCTCTCGACTTCCTATATTATGAAGTGAAGATGCATTTATTTGCTAATGGGTTCTGAGAACTTCTTTAAGAAAGCTAAATGGTTTACGGACTTCAGCATTCCAATGTGGGGCGCAGGATGGCAGCTGCCGTGCTTTCTGCAAACCATTCACACAGAGGTCATTGTGAGCTTCTCCACCACACGTGGTCAACACTGAGAAATCCCTGACCCTCACCAGTGTCCTCGGCCACCAATACAGCACTGCACAGTTATTTTTAAAAAGCAAGGAAACAGCAAGTTCTCTCAAGTCCCAACATTTGTTGAGTCCTCTCATATTTGTTGAGGCACCTTATTAGGCCCAAGAAAATAAATGGTAAAAAACACTAAATTGGTCTCATTCCTCCCTTCAACTCTTACAGTCTAAAGAGAGAAAGGGTCAATTAACACATTGCCCTGCCGTCAGCTCTGCGGGTGTCATGATGAGCCTGTCCCAGAGACACCCAACCCAGCTTCTGAGGGGAAGTGGCACACTGAAAATGCAAGGACAGGTCGCAGCAGGTGAGAGTACGTTCTGGGAAGGCGAGCCATGGGTTACAGGTTGATGAAGAGCTTGCTCCAGCACAACTACCAGAGCTCAGAGAGGTTGCACGAACAAGGAGGATTAAAGCTTGAGTTCTGTCATCCTAAAAGTCACTGCAAACCTGCAAAAGTAATCAAGACACCAAGTGGGAAGGAGAACTTCTGTGATGGTGGCAGAAGAGATCAGAAAACTGGCTGCCTCAAGCAGTGCTTTAATTTATCACATGCAAGTGTGATAAATTAAAGCACTTCTCCTTCAGTCGAAAGGCTGCAATGGGGATTTCATCCTGTGCTGACTCATAGCCTTCTGTCCTAAGACCTTTTTTGAGCTTAAAAAAATCTTTAATTCGAATTAGAGGTTTGTAAGGACCAGTCAAATAACTCAGCAGATTAAAGCACCTGCAAGTAGGCCCAAGGGCTGGGAGTTCGATCCCCTTGCTGCGCCGGCCCTGCACCCAGGGCACTCTGAGACAGCATTGGGACTGGGCTTGGTGGTGCGCGCCTGTAATCCCACCTCTTGGGAGGCTGTAAACAGGAGGATCACTATGAATCCGATCTAGTAGTTAGACCCTGAGCACCCTGTAGACCCTTCCCAAAAAAAAAAGAGCAAAGAACAAACTTGCAAAGTAGAGGTTTGAGGCTTGTCACTACCACCAAGTGGAAATCCACAGTGGGGCAAGTTCGTGCAGGAAGGAATGAGGGAGGGACAGAGAGGAGGCCACTAAGAAAGGCAAAGCAGGACACATACTAGGTGTTTGCTCTATCAGTAGCTTGTAGGCCATGCCTCTTTAAAGATACCATGTACATCTTGAATGAAGAGCTGAGAAGGCGTCCAGAGACCACGCCAGCCCTCTTCTCCGCCAGTGTTGCCAGCCCTAGAGAATCCACTCTTTTCCTTCTAAGTCTTACCCACTCTGTTCTCAAATTTCCAGTCAGTGTTCTCAGTGGCAGTGTGACAACAACAAGAGAAAAAAACCTTCACAAAATTTCATCAATTCACAGACAGATTAGAGCTCCCCAAAGAATTTGAAGTGTATGCTTCGGTAGTCACAAATATATGTCATAGATTTTCACCCACCGGTGACTTCCTCAGCTAGCAGAGATTCTCAAAGCCAACAAAACTCATGTTTTGTGTGAATTTTAAGTGAAAATAAAGGCCTGCAGCAAAATACATGACAGCAATATTTTCTAAGTTGGGTCTTCAGATAATGTATATGTTACTTAGCTTGGAAACAATGCAGGGCTTTTTTATAACCACTTTTTCTGGATAGATACTATTTTGTTTTTCTATTTCAGCTTACTTTTATCAAGGCAATAAATACATGTTTTAAAGACTTTATAAAAATTGCAAAATAAAAGGCATTTATGTTTCCCGTTCCCTGATCTGCAGAAGCAATACATTTCAATTCAACTATTTTATTTTATTTTTAATTAATTTTACTGAGAAACAAATAGCAATGAGACAGTTTCAAAACCAATTAATAAGATAGTTTCAATAATTAATACATTGCATATTGTTGTCTTCATAGTGGTTATTCATAGTACAAGATGCAGACAGGATATCCTGTCCAAAGACTATTAGTAAAATCTTTCTTCTGGAAAGAAGCTGTATATTGATGTTAACTATTTTGTATATACAGATACAAAATGGTCGTTCATTTGTATCCCCTTTTTTTGTTTAATTTTGTCAGAGATGGGTATTCCATTGCCATTTAAATACTGTAGGTCCATACAAGTCAACTATTTTAACTGATTATTTTATAATTTAAATTCTCTCTCTCTCTCTCTAGAGAGAGAGAGAGATAGATATAGATATATATGTTATATTGCTACTTCTTGATCTCTCAGACCCAGCATTACCCATGGACATCCCATAATGAAGGCCGATGGTTTGGCTCATTTGCATAAACCATACTTGTACACCTGTCTCACCCTAATCTTTTCCACATCTGTGCACATGAGCACACTTCACAGTCCTTTATAATTTGAAGACAAACATGACTTTCCTTAGTTCCCTGTTTATTGTTTTTTATTTTAATTTATGTATTTGGTACAGGGTCTCACTACACAGATCAGACTTGTAATGATCCCCCTGTTTTCAGCCTCCCCAGTGCTGGGATCACAGGCATGCGCCGCCACATCCAGATTCAGTGGCCAGCTCAGCATGCCCGAGGGCAGGGCTGGTGTGGCACATGGTGCCGGGAATCGAATCCCGGTCCCTGCGCTTGCCTAAGCAGGTGCTGAGTCTGCTGAGCTGTCTTGCTGGCTGCCTGTTTATTGTTAACATTATAACAATGCACATGCTTGTCCAAGCTAAGACCAGTAGTGAAACACAGTACCTTTTCTGCTTCCGCTTCCCTAGGAAGTAAAACTGAGTAATTAAAATGATTTTTGTCATTTAATGTTTCATCTACATATGAATAATTCAACCAATCTCTTCTTCCATATGTCTTATTTCAGTACATTCAACATAGTATGTGATTCCTTTTCCACTGTAGTTTCTTTTCCCCACATTTGTCATTGTGTATACTAATTGTGTAGATGTGTGGGTTCTGTTTGGGTGAATTGTTACTTCTACACAGCATACGTAATCATTTGCCCCATGGCCTGCTGCCACTCTCTCCTGAGTTCCACGTGATTTCAGGGCACTCCAACTTACAGAACACATTTTGACCGCACTCACGCCCCCTTCTACCCACCTCAATACTTTCTCTTCCATTCTCTTTCTTCAGCCTCTTGTTTAATAATTTTAGCATCTTGAAGAATCCTTTCTGTGGCCTTCTAATCTGATATTAACAAAGTTGCTTTCTATACTTCACGAATTTATGTTACTTCTGAATTTATCTTTTCTTCTAGTATAGTACAGTACCTCCTTCACAAACTGACTGAGGAAGATAGCTCAGCAGTCTAGGCGCCTGCTTGGAAAGTTCAAGGACCTGGGTTTGATCCCTGACACCACATGCCTCTCTAGCCCTGCCCCCAAGCTTGCTGAGCTGGCCACCAAGACAGGGCATGGTGATGCATGCCTGTAATCCCAGCGCAGGGGAGGCTGAGGCAGGAGAATCACTATGAGTCCAAGCTGCATGACAAGAACCTATACCCAATAAATAAATAAAAGATTTTTAAAAAAGAAGAAGCTGACTGAGAATACATGTATGGAAGATAATTTTTTTGAGATTAACTATGTCTAAATCATCTTCTCTTATCCTCAAACTTGATAATTT